GAAACTAAATAAACCTCTAATAATATAAAGTATTCGATTGTTGATTTTTAATATATAAACATGCTCAGACATTGCAAACTTCTTTCAGATGGATGCCCAGAGCCTTGCTGTGGAAATGGCCCCTATCATTATGTGGCATAAGGGACAGAGACCAGCACTCTACAAACAGTTTTGGAGTCGTCCATCAAAACTTGATTCTAAGACAAATGTTGATTTTGCCTCCAACTACAATACATGGGACATGCTTGCAGGTGATTGCAATTTTGGCATCATGTGCCCGTGCAATGCTTCTTTCTTTTGCATATCTTTTACTTTGTTCATAATCTTGCTTATTCAAGAGCTTGAAAGAAACCCCAGTTTGAGATTTCCTACCTGTGGGTAATAAAACCGGAAAGTTTCCCGAGATATATCAGGCAGTTAATCTTGGGACATATCTGCTAACCTTCAATGGCTTTTCATAACCGATGTATATGTAACAGTAAATTTCAAGGCAGCAAGGATTGATAGGACTGGTGGGTTTCTATAAGATAAGAGAACAGCAGAACAAACAGTTCCCGGAAAATAGGAAATGGAAAAAAGAAAACTACAGGAATGGATGACCTAGGAACCTAGTTGTTTAACTGAGTAGGTTGCATTTTAATTACTTTCGAGTCAACTGGGATTAGTGATGATAATGTGGCAAGAAAATAGCAGTTTCTAAATTTTGGATTTGATCTAATATGAGACGTCATGATAATGATATTTTGCTCTATGGCTTTTCTACCGAACAAGGGAACTTATTAAGTTGATGCAATTGTGAAATGTTTTCTTGCTGTATTTCTGCCTTCAAGTTTAAATATTTGTGCGTACTATGTGCATGTTATCTTAAAATTTGTTTTTCTGCATGCAGAAGAAGGTGAAAATACAGACAGATCTTCCTCTATTCCTTTGGATGATGAATTGCCAGTCGATTTAGGTGCTATTGAAGCCATACAGTGCTTGATCCAACATCACAACGCGATTTTCACAGATGCAAATGAAACTGTTTGGAGATAATTTGGGACAGACACATTCCAAATAGTGCACAGATTATTAGATTCTACTATGAACACAATAACATGTTGAAATGGATAATCTGAATATTCATAAATCCAACAGCTGATTTTTACTCCAGCAATGGGAGTGTTTTATGTGCAATCATGTAAATTTTTGCTGAGAATAATACATTTGAATTTCATCTTTTACTTATTTATTGAGTCAGAGACAATGTTTTGGTGCATAGGTGTGCATAGGAAAAATGTTAAAGTGTATCATATGTAAATATCAGAGGAGCCGGGAGCGGGTCACCAACCATTCTAGCCTCCTCGCCCTGTATGACTTTTAAAAGTGAAAGTTTGATGGTTGGTCCAACGGTCACAATTGGCACGTGAGCCCAACATGAACCGGCTTTGCAGGCCTTGATCCACAAGCCAGCTCATTATTTCATGAGCCGAACTTGACTCGTGAAAAAAGTGTTCGACCTACGACTTATCTCAAAATGAGTTCAAGCCGCATATGATTCGATCCAACTTGTTTTGCTACTCCAGAAATCAAGCAAGCATAAACCAATTTAGAGATTGAATATAATGGGATATAGCCAGCTATGTCGTCTCAAGCTTTAATGTCTCGAGGAGTGGGACATACTAAACTGGGACAAATTAGGGGTGTCCAAAAGTCCCGAATCGAACCGGACCGAACCGAACCCGAATCGAACCGAACCGAACCGAGCGGTTCTTCATAAATTAAATACCCGAACGGGTACCGAATCGAGAACCGATGTGTTTGG